CCAGAACCTGTAACCTTGAACTTTAATGGCTTTCACAGTAAAATCAAAGGTTTTCAACGAGACGCAGTGCCTTTTACAGCAACACAGCGCAGATACAGAGAGTGTCGAGTATACTAAATTCTAGTTTGTAAACTGACTTCTGAACAGGAAGGCTCAGTTCCTGTTTTAACACTGATATCCCGGGTCAGGCTCACCTCCAGGTCCTGCACGGAGATCTCCATGCGGGTCAGGTACATGTAAGGCACCCCGGAGCCCGAGCCCCTTGGCCCGTCGCTCACCGAGAAGACATTAGAGAACGGCTGGCCCACCACCGGTTTGTGGGTGGAGATGGTGGCCATAGAGGCCCAGTCCACCTGGTGCGCAACGAAGCGCGCGACCCGGGCCACCTGGTCATGAGGCGGGATGTGGAACAGGGACGCACCGGACAGAGAAAGGGAGGCCAAGGAGAGGCCGAAGAGGAAGACACGCACAGCCCCCCACAGAGATCTCATCTTTGGCTCGAGTGTATGGTGGCGAGTCGGTGAAGACCGAGAGAGGCGATATAAACAATACCGAATATCCGGTCTGAAATTTCATAATAAAAGCATTGCTGGGCTACAACCGAAAGTCCGCAACCAAAAGCTGGAGTGTCCAAGTGACTTTTAAAAAATAATGTAAATATTAGGAATAAATTAGAAACAAATGTTAAAAAAAAAAAAAAAAAGAGATCTGCCGTAATTGATAAATTCAGTTGCATTTTTTTTTTTTTAAATAAAAGCTGTAATAAATACATTCAGACATTTATATACAATTTCAAATCCCCCAAAGAGCTGCACCAATAGTAAACCATTTACTCATGTTTAAGGTTTTCAAAGCAACGTTTATTATTGCTTAAAATGAACCCAGAACTTTGACACTTTGGGCACCAGTTTCAAGATAAAAGTTGTACTGGCTGTTTGAACATTAAATCCATGGCAGTGTCAAAATAAAATGACCAAAGTAGAGATACAAAAATAAAAGCTCAAACACAGAAAAAGTGTTCTCAAAATTAAAGCCTTCACAATAATAAAGACTTGAAAAACTTTCAGAATAAAATAGCTGAACTTTTATTGCTTTTTAGGAAAAAAACTCTAAATACCAAAACTGTTACTAACAAACTGTATGGAGGATCACTCGGCTTCCATCGCTATGTGACCTTTGACCTCACAAACGTCACATAGGTTCTCCTCGATGGTGAATCTCCCATGGCAATTGTCGCTTTCGCAGAGACAAGACACTTCCTGTTTTTGCAGTGAATCGATCTGGACGTTGGCAGAGTAGTCCCAGGTGAGCTCAGTGCCAGCCACTACGGCCCTACAGCAAGAAAACAAAGAGGACAATTATTAAAATGACCACTAATAATAACCTACATTAACGTCCTCTCAGTCCTCTTCCTCACCTGCTGGTGAAGAAGGCAACGACGGGGAAGGCGGGGTCGTGGGAATCGATGAA